GACTACGTACTTCAAAAGACATTCAAAGCAGCTTTGAAAGACCTTGGGACTGAGTGATAACAACAAAGTTGGCTTAAATCATCTTGGTTGTGTAGCAGCTTTGGAGTTGTACAATTCCTTTCATCTTTTAAAAAAGTCACGGTGAACTTTTAGTTAAAATATGAACAATTCTTCACTGAGAGTATTTGAGTTTCTCAATGCATAATTGACAATTAGGAAACTGAAGAGTGCATGAAATACAGGGCAAGCCAGGCATAGGCAAACTTAGACCCTCCAGGTGTTTTGGACTCCAACTCCCACAATTCCTAACAGCCTATCGGCTGTTAGGAATTGTGGGAGTTAAAGTCCAAAACACCTGGAGGGCCCAAGTTTGCCCATGCCTTGCCTAAGCTCACAAACCTCTATGCTGAGATTTGGGCAGAAAAGAAAAAGCAGCACATAGGATATGAAGGGAGAAGCAGCACCATGATACTAGGCTCTATATGTGTTGATGCTGCTTTACTCCTGTTTCTGCTGTTCTGGTTGAAACAGTTCCTACAATCAGGTTGCTTGTTTTATTTGCTAGTTGAAAACCACAGGATTTGTGTGTATGGAAAAACTGGTTTGGACTACAACTCCGAGAATCCCCTAGCTAGAATGAAAGTGTATCAACCATGGACTTGGAGAAGAATTCCAAAGAGTAACTTTTCAAAACTCTGTAAAAACAAGCAGCTCTGCTACTGACGTTGCCAAACTTTGGCCCTTCAAAAGTTTTGGACTTCAGCTCCAGCCAGCTTGGCTAATGAGTCTGGGTTTCCGGAGCATGAAATACAAAACAGGCGAAGGACCAGAGACTGGAAATCACTGTTCTAGATCTACCTGAAGGAATATAGCTGTATCAGAGTGAAAATGCTGTGGAATGACCCTATAACTCATATCCATATATCTGAACAGCTTTATGATACAGTATTGGATGTTGCCGAGTTATTCCTGGACACTCCCTTGTAATTTCAGGACAGCATTCTAGGTTATGTTTGTGCAAGGGTTGAATTATAGTAACATGTCTGGGAATTTCTTGCTGGTGACGACAACTTGTGTGGATGTATCCTATCACTCAAATTTAAACTCGAGATAGTTTACATCCAGACTGTCTGCCTGATACTGTGTAGTTAGGGGTTTGAAGCTCATTGAGTTGGAAAGTTCAATTTCCCCCCCCCAAACACTACTCTCTGATTCTCTCGCCTAACAAAGTAAGATAAAGGTAAAGGTTTCCCCGGACATTAAGTCTAGTCATATATGACTCTTGGGGGGGGGGGGGTGGCACTCATCTCCATTTCTGTAGAGAACTCCTAGGTCATGTGGCCAACATGACTGCATGGAGTGCCGTTACCTTCCTACCAAGGCAGTACCTATTGATTTGCATGTTTTCGAACTGTTATATTGGCTAACAGCGGGAGCTCACCCCATGCAAATCACCAACCTTTCAGTCAGCAAGTTCAGCAGCTCAGCGGTTTAACCCGCTGTGCCACCAGGGGCTCCTTTACAACTTATAGAATCCATAAATGATATACCAAAAATTTCTTCTACTGACATACTGGAAATGGCACCTGACCACATCCAGAGAATCGAGGAATGCATTGCTAACATAGCCAATGGATGTGTAGCTGGGGAATTCTGGGAACCCAAAAGGTAACTTTCCAAGCTCTGACTGAGTTGTGCTAAACTCGGCATAGTGTCAGACTGATAGTAATTAAGTTCTGAGTCACCAAATGACGATGAGAAATCAAGTGACGGGCACAGAGGTATGAATCATCTCTTGATAAAGTTGTTGGCATTCATCCCTTGTGCCAATCAATGAAAGCTGGTGTTTTTGTGGTGCAATTCAAAGGCACGCCTACCAAGGCTTCAACTGGTCCCATAGAAAGGGGGAATTGGTAAAGTAACATGTTGGCTGAGATCTTGCATTGGGAAACATGTGCATCATAGTTGTCTGGCTGCTGCAGTTTGAAGCTAGCTTCCATTACATGGCACCATGTAGATGGCACCATGGTTGCATCCTCACAGCTCCCAATGCACAGCCCTCAGCACAACCATTTCTGTGTTAGCCAAGAGCAAAGGATGAACTGAATACACTGCAACAGACATGTGTAGGTGATGCTGTGCCCTCGGTTACAGGAAAATAGCTGGATGCATTGCCATTCACCCCCCTTCTGTTGACAACATAGAAACTTCCTACAAGATAGTTTGGGGAGGTATTGCATGGGGATTCAAATCCTGGTCTCCGGAGTCGTAGTCCAATATTTAAACCACTGCACCACGCTGGCTTCCACTTGCTCTGCATAGAACTGTATAATTTTCAGATCTAAAAGGAACATTTTAGCTTCGGGGAAGTTAACCGTAGAACTCATTGAAGTTGAAACAGACATTGCGCAGCATCTAGAAACTCAAGTTCAAACATGAAGTGAGTATATATTTATTTTCGATGTGAAGTGTATTAGGTTCACGTTATGGTTGTCCTTGAAATGTTGGAACCAAGTGTCTTAACTACAAAGTGGCTACAGTAATTCTTGAGATGCATAAAATACTAATGAATTCTGCCTACGTCTCTCTATATCCTATATATATATATAAGTATATGCAGCTTTGAAAACATGATATATACCATAGCCTAAGCTATGAATATATTACATTCCTTGGGGCCTTCTCGTTGCATATAATGCCTCAAAATAAAATAAAATATTCCATTTAGGTGTTGTTGAACAAACATTTTAAAGATTTTTTTTGCTACATCAACTTACGCACATGTCTTAACCACTAAATCAATATTAACCCATAAAGCCTATTTCTTTACAGTTTTATAAACAAAGGAATGGAAATCCATTTGAGAGAAAACACGTTTACAAAGAAGAAGGGAATTCATAAATGACAAACACACATCCACCACATCTAATTCAGACTTTGTTCTTTCTGGACTTGTACTTCTTCCAGAAAGTCACTAAGCTGCTGCTTTAATAGCTATCGCACGGTTCCTAAACCTGTTGGCTGGACTCCATGGAAGAGAGCACGAGTTGGCATTTTTCATCTGGTGGGATATTTCTAGAGTCTCCCGTCCCAAATGCAGTCCCTATACCAATATTTTCCAAAGGTAATCATGGAGGTTGTGGCCAGGGGTATGAGTGTCTCCAGTGCATGGTCCAATTTAATGTGAAAGGGGAAAGAAATCTCTTAGCTGGTGCAACGGCACCAACTGTACACATGGACTTCTCTCAGCATGTACTTGTGATACTGAATCAATGGACCACTGTGGTTCAGACCACATCTGGAATATTGTGTCCAATTCTGGGCACCACAATTGAAGGGAGATGTTGACAAGCTGGAATGTATCCAGAGGAGGGTGACTACAATGATCGAGGGTCTGGAGAATAAGCCCTATGAGGAGCGGCTTCAAGAGCTGGGCATGTTCAGCCTTCAGAAGAGAAGGCTGAGAGGAGACATGATGGCCATGTATAAAATATGTGAGGGGATGTCATAGTGAGGGGGGAGCAAGCTTGTTTTCTGCTGCCCTGGAGACCAGGACACGGAACAATGGCTTCAAACTACAAGAAAGGAGATTCCACCTGAACATGAGGAAGAACTTCCTGACTGTGAGAGCTGTGCAACAGTGGAACTCTCTGTCCCGGAGTGTGGTGGAGGCTCCTTCTTTGGGAGCTTTTAAACAGAGGCTGGATGGCCATCTGTCAGGGTTGCTTTGATTGCAATTCTCTTGCTACTTGGCAGGGGGTTGGACACGATGGCCCATGAGGTCTCTTCCAACTCTATGATTCTATGATTCTTYTAAGCTGTGCTAATAGGCCAGTGGATGGGACACTGCCTCACAATACTCACCACCAAAATGATGGCTATCTTAGAATACATGACTGGAAGAAATAATCCCATGTTTACTTTATCAAATACTACTTCTTCATTAAGAATGTTAGTAATGAAATATAGTAGAGTCTCACTTATCCAACCTTTGCTCATCCAGCGTTCTGTATTATCCAACYCAGTCTGCCTCCCACCCAAATCCACAGCCTTTTCAATACATTGCGATGTTTTGGTGCTAAATTTGTAAATACAGRAATTACTACATAATGTTATCATGTATTAAACTGCTTTTTCTGTCAATTTGTTGTAAAATATGATGTTTTGGTGCTTAATTTGTAAAATCATAATGTAATTTGACATTTAATAGGCTTTTCCTTAATCCCTCCTTATTATCCTTATTATCCAGCATTTTTGCTCTATGTTGGATAAGTGAGACTCTACTGTATTCTAAGAGATGAGCATTTGCAGATGGGGAATAGCCCTGGGCAATGTGCCCTCACATCTCCAGGTCAAACCCCATCCCTGCCACTGTAACTGCTGCCCCATTTGGTTGACCACTCCCTCTAAGCCAGTGGTTCTCAACCTGTGGGTCCCCAGATGTTTTGGCCTTCAACTTCCAGAAATCCTAACAGCTGGTAAACTGGTTTGGATTTCTGGGAGTTGTAGGCCACAATACCTGGGGACCCAAAGGTTGAGAACCACTGCTCTAAGCCAATGGTGTCAAACTTGTGGCCCTTCAGGTGTTTTTGGCTTCAGCTCCCTGAATTTCTGACCATTGGACAACTTGTCTAGAGCTTCTGGGAGTTGGAGGCCCAACTATCCGAAGGGCTGCATGTCTGACACCTCCGCTCTAAGCCCCATCTTCATCAAGCTCATAAGGTTAATTCAAGGGAAATGGAAGCTGGTGGTGTTTCTCCTGGTCCTTATTGCTGCTTGCATAGTTCAGAGAAGTACTGAACATGTGATAATAGCAAGGAGGAGCAACAGGAGAAAAGGGTGGTAGTTCCCAGTGGGACTCCACTGCAGCGTGAGCCTTGGGAGGTGCCCAACAGTGGTGGCATTTGGTGTAGGCTCAGCCCCAACCTCCCTCCACCTACATGCTTCAGCTCATAAGAACAAAGTAATGTTTTCTCAGACAAGCTGTCTTCTTAAGTAGGTTGCATTCATCTTGGAGTAATTTTTAAGCAAGGATTCCGTGCTCGCTTGCCAGTCCAAGGTTTCCATGCAAAGGACAAGCAGCACCTCAGGGAACCAGGTGTCTGTGAGTCTCTCCAGATTGAGGCGCTGGATAGCTTCTTTATTTTATTTTCTTTTGAAGATGGCCTCATGCAAGTACCAGGATGCCGTACTTCTGAGGGCCATAAAGCTCCAATTAGAGAGGGAGAATTTAATGTTGGCGTTCATTCTGATGCAGACGGAAAGCCAGAGCTAATCTCTCTCAGCTGATCACTCCTTTCTTGCCAAATGAATCTTGAATCAGAGTCAAAAGATGGAGAGCAACGTAAAATGCTTTTAAGACTCCCCGAGAAGCATCCAACATGTAAAGCGGGGATCAGTGGTGGATAAAAGCATGTTGGTGGTGGGGCTCTCAGGCTGCAGTTCTTGTGAGGCAGGCACAGGCACTTACGGTTTCCTGATGGTCGTGGGTCTCTGTAAAAAGTTATAGTTGAAGAGCACACTGGAGCAGCCGTGTCTTGCAATGTCCAGTTACTCCATACTAGGCATTTCACTTGATGATGCACAAAATGGCTCCCTCCGAGGACCTAGTCTGGTGTGGGATGGCATACCATACAATATAACAATATGCTTCACAAGCTGTGCAAACCTTTATTTCCAGCTGTGATCCAGGTGGGGAGTGTTCCAAAACACAGTTATTGGCTTGGGGTGGTGGTGGGAAGATGGGCACTTATTACATAGACTATTACTGGCCTCAATGTCCCATCAGCTTCTCATATAGATAGGTACCATGTTGAATCACAATATCCTAAAATTGGTATTTTGCTTTGATCTTATCCTTGCTGCATTTCAGATTATCTACTCCATGGGTAGAGTTGAAAAGCAATCTGAGGAATCCATAATGGGTTTAGCAGCTCGTTAATAACCTTTTGTAAGAATAAGACACATACACTTCGGTGCCCATTCTAGAACGTACTGTAATACAATAAGTCTGTTGAACATAATATTTTCTGGAATGCTGAAGATCTTTGGAGTCTCCTCAAAAGTTCATTACAACTGTTACGGTTGTACAGTTTGCAGAATTTCAGGAAAATAGCAGGTTAAATGTAAAATTATTATTTAATAAATAACTCTTCTGCGTCGTAAAAAATAAATGAATATTCCCTTTGGCAGTAATAGCTGATTTAATATTTAGATAGAGAGATACTTGGCTCATAAAATAATAGCATTATGCTACAAGGGAAACAAAATACCAGATATTATTTTCTTCTCCCAGCTCCCTTCTTTTCAGTTCCTTAAAAATAAGAGAGATGGAGAGATTTTTTCACCAGTTCATCACAAGAAGTCATTTATGCCCCAGATAAGCTCCAAGAGTGATGCATGCGCCCACAACGGCCAGGCTCAGGATTGTCTTCAGAGGCAGCCACGAAAAATCAAACAAAGGCCTCATGTTGTTGCTGTAGAGCTCCACAAAGGCATCCTGAAGTGGGGAAAAGACAAGAGAGAAGATCAGAAACAGGAAAGACCATGTTTCAAGCATTAATCAGACAAGGTTAGCTCCCAATATCACCACTGGAAGCCTTCCTGTTGGATTTGCCAACTCTCAGGCTACTAGGATGGGATAATTCCAATGGGTTGCGTGCAATCTCCCTAAATCAAAAGTATTGAGTTTTTAGCTTTCAAAATGGTTTGGAACTCTATTCCCTTATCTTGTTATCATTGGCCATGTTGGCTAGGGCCAAAGTTTTTTTCAGTCCCACTACAAGCTGAGTCTTCCTTATCTGAAATGCTTGGGACCAGAAGTGTTTTGGATTTTGGAATCCCTGTATTTGCATATTCATACAGAATGAGGTGTGTTGAAGCTGGGACCTATATCTAAACCTACAATTCACTGATGTTTCACGTACTCTTTGCACACATAGCTTGAAGGTAATTTTATATGCAATATTTTGCATGAAGCCGAGTTTGAACAATCAGAAAGCAAAGGTTTCATTATCTGAGCAAGCCTTATGCACAATTTCAGATTTTGGAATATTTCAGGTAATGAACACTTAACCTGTATGTTTTCGGCTATCATTGCATTCTGGATGCATGTGAAGGCTCTCCATAGACAATATCATACTCCTAATTATGATCTTTGCAAAGGCTGGTTGCCTTAATTACTGGGAGGTCAAGATCCAAATAATATCTAGCCAGTCAAAGGATAGTTCAGTTCTGAATTATTTATTTATTTACTCTATTTATATCCCGCCTTTCTCTACCCCGAAGGGGACTCAAGGCGGCTTTGCATATGGCAACTATCCAATGCCTTTGAACAAGAAACAGTTAAAATACATTAAGTTAAAGATTCAAAATTATAATTAAAAACATATAAAACATTGCAATCACTATTACAAATCATACCATCCACAATCGTAATCTGGGGCCATTCCAAAAGTCATTGAACAATATACCATAGCTATTATTGCACTATAGTTAATCTCCAAAGGCTTGATCCCAGAGCCAGGTGTTCACTTTCCTTCTGAAGGCCAGGAGGGAAGGGAGCTGCTCTAATATAACTTGGAAGGGAGTTCCACAGACCAGGGGCCACCACTGAGAAGGCCCTGTCTCTTGTCCTCACCAGACGCATCTTCAAAGGAGGTGGGACTGAGAGCAGGGCCTCTCCAGACTATCTTAATCTCCAAGGTGGATCATAGGAGGAGACGACTCTGCATGCCACCAGTTTAGCTTTCTACAAAACCCAAGAACCTTGGAAATAACTGTCGGAAGAGCTTGAAACCCCAGTGGCAAGGTGATCAACATGGAGGATGACAATGGCTGTGGGACACTCCTCACCTTTACCTTGACTAGTCTCTGTCACTAGTCGCAACAGACATTTGACACTTCTGGAAAAAACCACAACCACCCTATTCCCATCAATAAACCTGGCACACCATGACGTAGAGTGTAGTGATATCATAAATTGAAAGTTAACACATAATAGCAGACATCAACAAACTGACTCCTTGTGCAGTTATTATTCTTATTGGCAGGTTTAACAATTGACACAAGATGGCGCATCAGGCTTCTTATGCTATGGAGCTCAAACCCAATAGAGCCAAATGTCAATGGAGAGAAATGTTCACAGAGAATCAGAAAAAAATCTATAATAAGGTAAGCAAACAAACAAACAAAGCCAAAGTTGTCTAGTTTATATCCTGTTGCTTGAATGGCTATTTTTTTTCACATAACCAAGGAATGAATGCCTTTGTCCTAAAGATTGCTTTTAAGATTGCAAAATATAAAGATTGCAAAATATACATATTGGTCAGAAACCAATAGGCTTAAACCCTGGGGGGAAAAAACTAGGTGAGCTTGAATAACTTGCTTTGAGAAGACATAGTCTTTTGCTTAAACAGAGTATCTGTGTGCATTTTCTAACCTGTTCATTAATGTTTTCACTAGTAATGCTGTACACTCAAATACATAATATAGGATAGGTTTGTTTTAGCTTGCAAAGAGAGTAAGAACAAGGTTGTTGTAAGTTTTTCGGGGTATACGGCCACGTTCCAGAAGCATTCTCTCCTGATGTTTCACCTGCATCTATGGTAGGCATTCTCAGAGGTTGTGAGACCTCACAGCTTTTGAGGATGCCTGCCATAGGTACAGGTGAAAGGTCAGGAGAGAATGCTTCTAGAACATGGCCATGCAGCCCGAAAATACTCACTACAACCCAGTGATTCTGGCCATGAAAGCCTTTGACAATACAGAGTAAAAACCAGTGAACTTCCAAAGAACAGGCAAACTTCCCCTTCCAGGAACAGAAAAGGTAATCTCAAAGCAAATTATTTAACTACAGAAACATCAATAAAATGAGAATTTAAAAGATAACATAAAAAGATAAAACATAAGCAATATATGAAGGGCAAACACATTTCTATGATATCTCTTCCTTTTTTCTAGTGTTGCTCTGGAGACAGACATCTTCGTTTTCCAAATCTGGCTGCTAGTGGCATTGAGTTTTTCATGCAAGACTTAGAAAGATAATTTTTTAGTAGTGACTGAATTCATCAACTAGTGTTAGCTTTGGTCGTCGAGATTCTGAAAGCCGTAGTGCAATAATATGGCATTTCAAAGTTCTCGCGCTGCTAAATGTACAATGATTTGTACACCACAAATATAGTATCCAAGATATATTTTGCAGAACGCAACTACCTTGCTACAGGCTTTCACCCTTGATATGTTCCGTGAGTCCTCTGGATAGAAAGTGCCAGGGCTTGATTAAAAAGAGATAGCAGAATAGCTAATGGCAAAGCCAACGTAAAAAAAAATGCAGTGTTAGTAATGGCAAACTAAAAATGCAGAGGACATGGAAGTGGTGGCTGATAGACACTGATGTATGCAGATACCTACAAAAGTCTGTAAGTACTTGCAATATTAGCTTTTAGACAGCACTAACCTTATTAATCTCAGAGATAGAAGGTTGGTTATGCCAAATATGAAGGTGTGCAGGGCTAAAGTTAATATGATGATAGTACTAAAGCTCTTAGTTATGGCAAAGGGATAAGAAACATCAGCAGAAAATGTACAACAGGAAATCCCTCTTCTTATTGATAACAACATTAATGTCTACTTTATGGCTGCTTCCCCGTATAGTCTAAGTAACTATTTTATGGGTCCTTTCTTTCCTCTTTGGTACTTTCTCAAACATCCTGATTAGACGTATTTCCGAAGCTTGTTTGAACAGCCTGTCAGTATTTGTTTAAGTTTAAAACCCGGTTTAAACAAACACCCAGACCTATTTTGTACACTAAACCAACAGAGAGCTGGAAAAGAGGAGGGGAAGGTGCAAAAAACCGCCCATAAAAAAGCCCCAGCAAGTGACCTCCAATGTGAACAGCTTGGAAAAGTTACTATTTTGGACTATAACTTACACACACAGTGCCAGCAAGGAAAGCCATTGGAAAGGTAAATAATACACTTTACATGTATCCCGCCTCCATCTCCCAAAAAGGGACTTGTGCCAGCTAACAAGGCACTGCAAGTGCAGCATAAACATCAACAGTGCATAAGTATAAAATAATATCACATAAAAGTTATAAACAACCACTATCAACACATAAAATTTAAAAACACTTTCCACCAATAGTTAATACTAGCTCCCATCAATACACAACTAAAGTGCCAAAATATCAACCTAATATAGGCCCATTTCAGCCTACTCGAGGCTAGAGGCCTGTTTAGAAATCTATGCTTTTAGGATAGAACAGAAGGATTCAAGGGTAGGGGCTAATCTATTCTCTTTTGGGAGGATATTTCAGGCCAGGGAGCCACTACTGAGAAGGCCCTCTCTCTCGTTCCCACCAACTGCACTTGAGATGATGGTGGGACTGAGAGGAGCCCCCCTGTCAATCTCAAAGCCTGTGCTGGTTCATAGAAAGAGATGTGGTCTCAAAGATAGGTTGGAACCAAAGCGTATAGAGCTTTGTAGGTAATAACCTGCACCTTGAATTAAGCCCGGAAATTTGTCGGAAACCAGTAGACCTAAGGATTAACCATATTCAAGTTTTCAGCCTAAAAGTTCTTGATACCCATACTGAACAAAACTTTAAGAGTTCCTGACTTTCAACAGGAATTAAAATGCAGAAAACGTTTGCCTTATTAGAAATGGATGTTCTATTGAAGCAGAAAACTGGATGCAAATGAGGGGTTTTTGTGTTTTGGAGCTCAGATCCCACTTCTGCTATGAAATCAGTTTCTTGGACATACATACATATGTGTGTGTGTGTGTGTATATATATATAGAGAGAGAGATTGTGAATGTTGACATTCACCCTCCCTCTGTAGTAATAAAAGGTCAGCCCCCAGGACTCACCATTGTGTGTGTACACACAAGAATATGGGGCACTTAACTTGAGTTTGTCACTAATAGTATGCTGACCCATATATTAAAATAAAAACATTCTTATAAGTAGCAGGGAATATCCCTTTTTAAAAGTTCTTATTGAATTTTTGAAGTTTAAACCAGAACAATTTCTTCAATTTCATACAATTTCTTCAACTATGTACACAATGCAACTTACTCAAGGTCATCCACTGGCTGAGGGGGGGGGGGGATCCTCATCTCCTGGAGCCCCAATGCATTAGAGGCACATTTACAGGGATGCTTATCACAATATTCCTCCAACCCTGTTTTTGAATTGCTTCAATATGCCTGAATTTCAGTGTCTCAAACAAAATTGGAAGGAAATGTGAAAAAACTTGTGATATGAAGGGACTACATGGAAATGATTTGGGGAGGGGGGTGTTGCACACAAGAGTTTTAAGTATAAATTAGTCATAATTTTCAGTGATTTCAGTATGATTTAATCTAAAATAAATGCGCGTGAGATCACGTTGTTAAGAAGGTAGGGAGCATGTCTTCTGGGTCCAATTCAAACAGTGGCATCTCCAACCAACAAGAGATTGGGGTCTGGAAGGTAGTAGCTCACTGGAGCACTA